CTGGGGGACTGAAGGAGTAAGCTGCTTGGATGAGGTCGGGGTACAGGGCGGGACATGGAGAAAGGAAAGGAAGGAGGAGAGGTGTAAAAACAAAAACCCGAAAATGCCTCAACAGGTAGGTCAGTTGTGTGCACTCAGGTACCGATTGGGTCAAGGTATCTCAGCCCTATCCTAAGTTACAGGTACTTGATTAGAAATCTTTGTAGCTGGAATTACCTTGGGCTCCAAGGTAAATGGTACCTCCACTTCCTCTCACCTTGGAGTAGTCCCAATAACAAGACATTACCAATTCCACCACAGGCTTCTGAAGTCAGGGTCAGAAAAATGTAGGCCTCAAATGTCAGGCTGGGACAGGTTATGTCAGAACCACCTGAAGAAAGATCTGGAAGCACTGAATCCCGAGCTCTACATCCAGACATTCCGTGTCAGTATATCTGGAGCGGAGCCCAAGAATCCCTAGTATGAAAAGCTTCCCAGGTGATTGTAATAGAAAATATTTAGTCATAGTTTTGCACAGGTGGCATTCCACAAGCATGTGGGCAGAAAGGGCTCCTCATGGGTTTGTTTATAACGTTTGATCAGGTAACTTGTTGTGAAAGAAGGTTGGCTATTGGTCCTAAGGGACTCTTTTGAAATATTCCAATGAGACAGACTGAGTGACCTGAGTGTGGGCTCAATGTTTCACCACTCACCCATGGCTTCTTTTGAAGATAATGTTTACCCGCTTGCTTTTCTACTAGGCTAGAGGCAGTTTAAAGAAAGAAGAAAAGGGCTTCCTGTTCCAGGGGTATCGGATACATTTATACTTGATGAGTGACTGATTTCTTCAGGTTTCCCACAAGTCCACTAACCCAGATGGTCTCACCATCTCTTCTAGGTATTCCTGAAATAACACCGTAAGCTTTTGTGCTATTTTGTTTTGTCTCACCCAATGCAAAGTTAGTTCTGAGGGTGAGACCAAAATAGCCTCCCTACTGAAAATACATTTAAATTTTACTGTGGAGTTTTTTAAACTTTTTATTTCTTTCTTTATTTTTATTATTATTTTTTACTGTGGAGTCTTAAAGTAATAAAATGTGCATATGAAATTGTTTCATTATCAAATTCACAGATCTTATAAGAAAAAGCCAATTTAAATAATTGAACAATTTACAAATATGTACTTAAAATACTACACAATTACACATCTGCAATAACATAGGCAACTAAACACAGAAAATTATTCCTCCCTTACAGACTCAAGAACTTCAAAGTATCTAGGCTGGAAGACCATTAATACAAGCCCATTATTTGTAGAGGAAGAACAGCATGTTGGAATGATCTTCCAAAATTCTGTAGCCAGGTAGTGAACAATCTGGACTAAATCTTACAGCTCCTTGTTCTGAGAATTCTATTCCTTTAGTTGAGGTCATGTCATAGCCCCATACCGCAATCATAAATGTAGACATACACTGTGAAATAATGTCATAAAAGGATTCCTTGTAGGCAATTTGTCCAAGGAAATCATGTGTGTTTATTATGGCTCAGACTTGTATGGCGTCTTTCCACAATGTCTGTGCTCCAGGACAAGAGAGGGAGATAAGAGACTTAGGTTTTGCTTCTGCTGTGGGTATCCATAACTAAGGAACGGACCCTTCAAACATGACCTGTTTGGGATTCTCAGTCATTGTTAGATCCCCTGAAGCAGTAGGAGCCTCCTCACTTTATCTCTGCATTCCCAAAGCCTCACTGCTCTGAGGTTGTCATAGGAGCTGGATGTTTACTGAAGTGATGGTGCCGGGTCTGTAGCTGTCTTTTTGAGTCTCAGTATACACTCCCTCCTTCCATTTGGTCCACCAGCGAGACGATGAGAAACCAGATCAAGGCACAGAGATGAGAAACTTAGGCATTCAATGTAGGACCTTGTGCGCCAGGAAATATGTATAACGATGGACTGTTCTCATGGAGGAATTTAAAATATTTTTCTGAGTCAAAGTTATAAAAAGTGACTTAAGATTTTACTCTAAATATTCATACTTTTAACTGTGGAGCTTTAAGTAATGATATAAACATAAGTATAGAGAACACACCTACACAGAATAAAATATATGTATTAGTCAATCCACCTCTTCCTTCCAGCTAGAGAAAGGGAGAAAGTTCTATATCAAGGAATGTAAAGAAGTTTATGGTAGAGTTGAGGAGCACTTACCGAGAACAAGAGGATCAGACAGGAGAATAGTCACTAAAGTAGAGTGTGGACCTTCTTTCTTTAGGGATATTTGGCCTTTTTCCCTCTTAAATTTCCACTATTCTTTAAAAAAATATTTTTATTGATTATCTATTGATTTCAGAGAGGAAGGGAGAGGGAGAGAGAGAGATAGAAACATCAATGAGAAAGAATCATTGATTGTCTGCCTCCTGCCTGCCCTGTACTAGTGATTAAGCCTGAAACTTGGGCATGCGTCCTCGCCCGGAATCAAACTGTAACCTCCTGGTTTGTAGGTTGACGCTCAACCACTGAGTTACACAGGTGGGGCCTCCCCCATTCTTTAGAGGATGTTGGGACTCTTGATCTGTTAGGACCTTTCATAACCATTTTTCAATTGTTCTTTGTCAAATGCAATATGATCAAAATGGAATGCACAGATATAGACAGCAAATTAATATATTTTAGGAATGTATATGATGTTATAAGGATTAAGTGAGGGTCAGGATCCTTTAGAGAAATCAGAAAGAGATAGAATTTAGATCTGAATCCATCAGAGTTACATCCCAGGGAAGGGGTGAGGAAATACATACATGGTGTCACCCCAAAATGTATGCACACTTTGAATAATTATTAATTCCAATAGGTTAAATCTGAATGGAAAGAACCATCAATTGCACTATCAAAAATGTATGAGTATACTTTCATTTTTAGCACAGCAGCCAAATTAATCTCAGGTTATTTCAGTCTATTATTTAAACATTTCATTTGATTCTCAATTAAAAAAACCTCTTTACCCAGGTCTCCTCAGCCCTGAAGGGTCTGAATCTCATAAAATCCATCATTAATGTTCATGGTTATTAATGCTCTAGTCCTATCAGACTAGACTTTTATTTTTCCAACGTGCTAAATTTGTGTCTATCTTAGGAATTTTGAATGTGCTCTTTTCTCTGCTGGGGTGATTTTCCTCCTGGTCACTGCATGACCAACTGCTTCTCATCTTGCTCAGATTTTGTTGCCTTTTACAGGCCTTGCCTGCCTACTCCCTGCTGTCACTTCCATGACACATCCAAACCGTTTCCATCACATTGCTCCGTCTTATTTTTTTTTTCCCTGACACTTATCAGGAGGAAAAGTAACCTTATATGTTTACCACTTAGTCCCAGGATAATGTGGCACCACGAGAGAAGAAACCTGTCTTTGTTTGCTTTGCATGATTAGTACCTATAATAGTGTCTGGAACACAAAACATATTCAACAGATATATCCTGATGAAAGAAGAAATGACTGGGAGAAGGAATGAATACAGAGTGGAGGGAGGTTGAGGCAGGTGGGTAATTGATCACCCCTCTTCTGAGGTGTGGAAGATGCTGGTCCTAGACTGGGAAAGTCATATGAACTGGTGACTGAAGAGACCATGTCCTTCACAGGATAGTGATTCCATCTTTGCTGTGTTCAGTCTCCTCCTTCTGCTGTTCTGTGTCTCTATGAAGAATGAATACAGTTATGCCATGACTTATTTTACCTAAAGTCAATAGATTCTGTTGAGCATGGCAACTTCCCAAGCCCAGGGCCCCTGTGTAATACCTTCAGTCAACAACACACATAGAAGTGCAAAACCACCAGCAGCTGCTGACTGTAGTACCAATAAGAGCAAGATATAAGTCATTGTGGAGTAGTGCTTGGAATGGGAACCATCTCTGAGGGCCTTGAAAAGGGAGTTGAGGACTCCCAGTGCCAAGAACAGAAGTGCAGATTTGATGAGATGTCACCTCGGCTCTAGCCTAAGTCAGACACTCGAAAAAGACACCCCCTCCCCGATCATACAATCACATGAATGCTGCTGCTGACCACAGTTCTTAAGGAATTTCCCTTACTGCTCCTCATTCATTCCTGAGTGCAGCCCTGTTTTGGAAGCAGAGAAGGGAATCTCATTACGCAGCCCTTTTCTCTGTGGCTCTTCAAGCCCCAAATCCTGGAGCCTGTGCACTTTCCTGACTTGAGTGTGAATGAGCCACTGATTTCCCCATGGGGGCAGCAGTGGAGGCTAAAATGGGAAAGAGCATCCTCATCCTGAGACATCCCAATTGTGTGCTCCCTCCCTGCCCTTCCACCATCACGGGACCAGCTGTCCCCTTTTTCAGGACATAGAAATGGCCAGGGAAGATTTCCTATCTTCTCTTGGCAGCACTAGAACCTGTGAATGTGCTACCTGAACAGGTGATCTCATTCCACATTGGACCCAGGATCCAGCCCTAGTGTAACCAGTAATACCTGTGGAATTGATGTGCTCTTTTACAGAAAAATATCTCCGTAGCTAAAAATCACACGTGGTATTTTATCCCTGTTTTGGATTACAACAAACAAGTTTACATTTCTCATAATTTATTGCTCCTTAATCAGACAGAATCAAAGGCATTTGCTTCCTATTTACTCAACTGGGCCCATTTACCTCTTGGGATGGAAATACACAGGTCAGTTGAAGCTTCAGGTTTTCAATGTGAGGCAGAGAGGGAGGACATTCTGAGTCACTTCATTTTACAAGGAGCATCTTACACTCATGCCTCTCTATGTACCTCAGATCTCATATGAGAGGAAGGGAAACATTCTCTTGATCAGATGTGTCTACATGACAGCAGAGGGGCACAAACAGACACAGAGACTGGTAGGTCATTCTGCAAAGGAGTTTATTGCAGGTGCACAGGAGCTGCAGCGCAGCAGAGCTTAAAGGGGTTGTGGGCTGGTGGTGAGACTGGTGCTGATATCCAGGGTGGATGGCGGCATGGGACCATGGCTGTGACTGCGGGCACAGAGCTTAGATGATTCTATCGAAGTGAACTGGAATGTGTCCGTTGTCACAGGCAACACTGTAGTTTCTCAGTAAGGCTACTTGCTGGTATTGGCACTGATAGTAAGGATGTGCTGGTCTGGTGAGGTTGCAGTAGGTAAGATGCACTGCAACTCGGCTTCTATAGCAATTTTTATCACGTCCATTACGGCAGGTTATATTTGCTGTGTAACAGAGATTAACGACAGCAGCAAGTGATGTGTGGATGAAAGTATTTTGGCCTTTGCATGGCCTCCGTAAACGGTTAATCGCCTGCATTGCAATGGTGCATCGAGTGTTGGTCATGTTTACGTGTTGAACTTCAAACCACTGAGCCCAGGTTAGACCCCTAGGTGGGGCATGGAAGGAGATCACCATTCCCATGAGCCCCAGCAGCAGAAGGAGACAAAGCTGGGAATCCCGCTGTGTTGGAACCATGTTTCCTGTCAAAAGAGAAGCATCTCCTCCATCCCTGCCCAGTTGTGACACACCCCTTCATCTGTCACCCTGAAAGGCCCCTGCTGTCACCAAGGTCCTATTTCCTTTCCCTTCAGCCCCCCAAGTCTGTCTTGTGTCCTGGGTACTAGCCCAAGCTCAGTCCCCTGGCAGTTGCTGTCCCATCACTGGTCCTCCTGTCCCAACCCCAGGAGGGGGTCATTGTCTTACCCAGTCAGTGCTGTGGCTGCTGTGAGAACAGATCCAGCTGGTGGTCCCGGGTCTCAGGGGCAGCTGGTCTCCTCTATCCTGTGGACTGAAGATATAGAGCAGCCCCTGTGGGTGGGGCCAGCAGAGCCAGGAGGGGTTTGAATCTAAGATCGCAGAATCTCACAGATTGGCACATGGCCCAGTTTTGCAATGAGCCTCTTGTTTTGTCCTCTGCTGATGAACACATACCCCAGGACAGCTGGCTGCTGCTTCTGTGGTACAACTCTAATGGCAAGAGTCCCTGCAGAGCAGAGCTCTGCCCGTGCCTCTGGTTTCTGTAGGGAAAACTGCCCACTGGTTGCAGAATGGCCATAGATTTTAGAACTCAACTTGGTGAGGGCACTGAGGGACTGAAATACAGAAAGGCAGGCCTAGTTCTCAGAATAAAGGGAGCCCAAGCGCTGTCTGCACAGGGGGAACCCAGGTCCCCTTCACTGAGTGATCTCTCTGGTTCCCCCTCAGCCAACATTCTCCATCTCATCACCTCCCTGTGCTGCCACCTCGAGCTCTGAGTTCCTTGCTCCGTAAAATCCTGAAGGTGTATAGTAGTTTCTTATGTGTCCTTGAGGTTTGTTGTTTTAATACATGGCTTGATTTTTTGTTTGTTTGTTCACTTCCTGTGAAGTGTTATAACTTGAAAACAACCAGGGGAAAGTCTTTCTGTAGAGTCTGCCCCAGAGTAAGCATGTAGTGACATTTAAAGGAAATTGTGCAGAGAACGGACGGACATCCCAGTGGGGCAAGCCTCATACTAAAAGGTGTTAAATTTCTGGTCAAACTTGTAGGTTAGAAAACTATACTCAACACTTAAAGGGTATCATATACCCTTTCAACAAAAAGATTCACATCATTTTTTATTACCTTCCTTTATTCCTGTTATTTGGAAATTCGATATTTTGATTCTTGATGTCGTTATGTCAATAAGGACATAGTGGTGACCTGGTCAGGACCACGTGCAGAGCTAGTAACACTCAGCCTTAAATCTTCTTCTTGCTGAAATTCATTAATATATTTTATCATGAGGCAGTTTTTTTTTAGATCACTAAATTTTTTATTGTCACCATTACAGATATTTTTATGTATGCTTTATGGAAATAATTTTCATAAGTGACGAAGATGTAAAATTGCATTAGATGTAGAGTCACTCCTCTGTGTTGCTGACAGCCACATTAGGTAGAAAGTCCTGTAACCCAGTGTCTATATTATGAGGTAAAAGGCATATACTGCAGTCACAGGAGTGTATCTGGTCAAAAACCTGTTCTGATCAGCACATTCAGTGTTCCTTATAATAGTGGATTTTTGATGTTCACTTTTCAAACTGGGAGAGTTCACATAAATTTACATGTCTATCTTATTTGTAAAAATCAGGATTGGTGCACTGAGTTTCCATTACCATAATGAATCAATTAGAGCTGAGTCAGCAACTAAGTCTGTTGAAGAGAGCAATTGTGCAGGGGTCTCCTACTGCTCCCTCCTGATTCACATCCTGTCTGTTCACTCAGTGATGGCTCCTGCCTGGCTCCTGTGGACAATGCTTTTATGACCTATCAGTCTTGTTACAAGTGTCCTGAGTTGCTACTCACATAGCACCCTACCAATTTGCAACCATGCTTTTTCTTTAAAATTGTATTCAGAGCACACCTCCTATGATTTTTCTGGATGTTTTGCCTACAGCTTTCCTCTAGACATTTCAACTGCTCTTTTTTTCCCCTCCAGGACTAGTACAGAAAATCTAGTTTGATATTCAAGATCTATCGGAGAGGACTTCTTTTTTAAAAAAAATTTTTAAAAATAATTTTTATTTCTTAAAGTATTAAAAAGAGTATTACATATGTCTCCTTTTTTCCCCCCCTTGACATTCCCCTGACCCCTCCCCGCCCCCGGTGTCTTGTGTCCATTGGTTACATCTTATATGCATGCATATAAGTCCTTCGGTGGATCTCTTAATCCCCCCCCCCCCCCCCCGCAAACCCTCCCCAGGATTCCCACTGTAGTTTGACAGTCTGTTCAATGTTGCTCTGCCTCTGCATCTACCCCTGTTCATCAGTCTATACTGGTCCCCATTATCTGTCCCAACCTCACTGGAGCAGTCCCAACCTCACCGGGGCCGTTTCAGCCTCACCAGGGCCGTCCCTACCCTACCGGGGCTGCTTCAACCTGACCGGGGCCGTCCCTACCTCACCGGGGCCGTTTCAACCTCACCGGGGCCGTCCCAACCTCACCGGGGCTGCTTCAACCTCACCGGGGAGGACTTCTTTATATGAGGCAGGAAAATTATAAAATTAATAAAAATGCCTATGTTTATTAAAGTACACTGTAACTTTGATGTAAGTTTGTCTTTAATAGAAAAAAGGAACTTTTCAGAGACTCTGTTTTGTTTTTCATTAGCACAGACTCCCTTGCAGACCAATTTAGTGCATATTTTTGGACTTGACTCATATTTCCACTGAAAGGAATAGTCAGAATGATGCCCTGGTGTTATTAAGTCACTGTTGAAATCTAGGAACATTTTAAGGTATTGTCTCAGGCAAAGACTTCTGCATCTGTGGTAAAAACCAGTGTTGAAAACAATGGCCTCAGCATTAGTCAATGTCTCTTTTAACAGGGGCCCAGGTACAAAACAATGAGCCCATCATTTGCAATTTCTTCAGCCCAGGGTACTCTTGCAATGTCTTCCTTTAAGCTGCTGATAGGGAGATGCTAACTGACAGTGACTTCCTGCTCTTGGCTTTCCTAATCAGGATCTTGTGGGGGAACAACAATGAACACTGCTTGCTGGTACAGCTTGAAGGACTGTCCTAATAACATGTTTCAGATTAATGGAATTGCAGCGAATGGAGTGAGATTTAGCTAAGATCAAAAGACATTTGGTGTGCTGGGCTCTTCTTGGTCTTTTGGAGTCAGCAAGGTGGCCCCAGCCCTGCTTTCCTTTTGTACAGGGGTCCTTACACATCTTTGAAGACCACTGTACAAAAGCAGAACTGGACATCTATAATCAGGCTTCTGGAATGGCATAGGAAAGGAATGAGCCTTTCTTCTTTTCCTCAACTATAAGAAGTACTTCCCTTCCCTGGAGAGGGGATAAAGATAAATCAGATGGAATTATGGACAGGTATGTCTGAGGAGGGATGATACTGTGTTTTCCAAAAACAATTGGAAAGTTTCCTTCAATTGAAATTGAACCAATGCATATTAAGTACATGAAGGTATTAACTGAGTTCTCAGGGTTCAAGAAAATTAATTAATTATGTTGGGTGTTGGCATGTTTGTGAATAAAATGATTCTATAAGTATTGTGGTAGAGTGATAAAGAGTATAGGTTTTGAATAGCCTTGTCCAGTTTTCAGTCCCAACTTTTTAAAATCAGAGACCTTTATTAAAAGAGTTGGTGAGTTACTATCTCTCTCTGAGCCTGTCTTCTAATCTGTAAAACACTGATAACAATAATACAGACATAACAGTTTTGTAGAAGAAATTTAAGTGGAATATATTCATGTATGTAAAATGTGATGCACAGAACATTACATATGGTAAAAGCTATCTTTATAAGGAATATTGATCCTATCATCAAGTTGTCAATGTGATATCTAGTACTGCTCTAATCCTCTGTGCTGTTTCCGATGAGCTAGAGCAGGCTTGTTTGTTTTCCTTACTCCTCAAGGTGAAGGCATTAGAATGAGTACTCAGGTTTCATCTTTTTCTGACCAAGTCCTATTTTGGTGGAAAGCAAATCATATTGGCAACTCCCTATTATTTAGGAAGCGTTACCTAAAATAAAAGAGAAAAAATTACCCTTTAACATCTTGCTTTACCCATGAAATCAGAGCACAGCGGAAGAGAAAATCACACAAATTCCATCTTTTGTCAGGTCAGTTTAAATTTGGAGAACTGTCTTAGCAAACAATTAGAGCACCATTTTGTAATGAGAATACAGTACCATTGTGATTTGTTCTCTCTTTTGTGTGGAATTTTATAAATATGGCCCAAATCACTGACTTTGGGCTTCATTTTTTTCTGCTGTCATTGGGTCCTTTATTTTTCATTAAAACCATTTTTTTCAATATGGTATTTTCAAATTATTGCTCTTGAAAAGTGTTCATTGTCATGTGTTATGTGATAATTTACATTGGTCCATAATTTTATGTATATTTTTGCTTAGGACCAAGCTGTGTAAAAACATGAGGTGATAAAATAATATTAATTAAAAGAACAGGTGAAATGGAGCTGTGTTCAGGGATGCCTAATGTCTATAAACAGTTGCGTTTTTCCTAGGTCTATAGTCTACTTTCCAGAATTTTTCAGTTTGTGCTAGTCTACTTATTTCCCAACAATAGTTATTACTGCCAATTTTCTTAGTAAATGGTGCCTTTTCTTTGGAGGGTCCTTACTTTCCTACATTGTGAAGGTATGTTCTTCTTTCAAAACCAGGGTATATCCTGCATGGAGCATTGTCCTTTACTCCATCTCAGTCTCCTCCTTGCCTTACACTTTTCCTTAATAGGAACAAACTTGGTTTTCTGTAGAAGTACATGGGCTTCTAAAATAGACAGATCAAAGTTTGACTCACAGTTATCCTATTTACCAACCATGTGACCTCAGACA